CCTGACCAGACCGCAATTGCCTGGATTCGTCGTACAACCCGGAGGATTGGTGGACTTGTAATTTGCTGGGCTTCAAGCCCGGAAGACCGCCGGATGGTCACCTGAGTACGTAGGTCGCACCCATGATTCGCTCCGACGAAGTGATGGTATCATATATCTACCTCTACCTACTGGACGGGCGATTGGTGCTGACATCGAATACTTTTACAGTCATCGTCACCTACGCACCCAGCTCGACAGCTCAAAGCCGCGAACACCGACGCCCGGCTAGAAGGCGACAGCTGCTAGGAGGCTCGGCCAGCAGGGAACTTCGGTCATTTGCTGGCGGCGGTGGTGTGCTGATTGTGCCGCTGGTCAGCATGTCAGGCTGCTCTTCGGCAAGCTGGATGACTCTCTAAAGGTACTCACTCATTCGATGAATTTGGGCCTCGGTAATATTCGTCAATCCACCTACATAACAGAGTGCCGAACTGTAGGTGGAATGCGCCCGCGATTTCGGCTCCAGCTCCATTTGGCGACCAACGCATTCAGACCTAGTGTCGGCTACACTCCTTGTCAGTTAGGTAGAGGTATCAACTGCGGACTGACGCCTTGTCGGAAGGCAAGTAGGCTGGGCCATCAAGCGGCTCTGTTGGGCAAATGAACAGAGGCAAGACAGAAGGCTTCCTACCTCAAGCTTGGATCGTAAGTTTCCAGGATGGGGAACGGGGAAAATCATCCACTCACTGACGACGTTGGCATGGTGCCTGATTTATCTCCAATCCGCTTGATATATGAATTCTAGCCTGGCCCCCTTCTACGAGATCATGACATGAACGCAAACATCAAATTCAAACCAAGACCCAGCTCATAACTTTACAATTCCCAAATATTTACTTGAATCTTCAAGGCAAGAAGGAGACCGGGAGGTCAGTTATGATGGCGCCCACAGGTGATGAGACCTACATCTACGGCCACTTCACCGAAGATGACGGCCCGTTCATTCCCGCATTGGGAGGGTCCTCCCCGCCGCCCGCATACGATGTGGCAGTGGCTGAGAGAGTTCGTCGACCTTCAGCTTCCCATCGTCTGAATCAGAATCCTCAAACTTTTCCTGCTTTTCCAACGCCTCAGTATGAGACTCGAGATCAGAGAAACCTTAGCTCCGTTTCTCCCAATTTCGCCCACGGCGGATATGCGGCCGTGATGCCTGGGAGTGGAATGGCTGAGATGGCTGGTGGACAGGGTCTAGTCTACCACCGCGTCATTCAGAGGCCAAGCCCCCCGCCATCACATCATTCAGCACAGTCAGTTCAGGTCAGCCACAATCCGAGCACTCTTTCATCGCCCATTCTTAATTCGCCCGCTCAACAATCGACAAAATCTACAGCACCCGCGAATCCCAATGATACATGGACTCCGGAGCAGAATCGATTCATCCTCCGGCTCGACAAAGTCGAAGGAAAATCCCTTCAGGAAATCTCCATTGCTCTCGAGCATGTGTTCCACGTGGAGAGAGATGCCGACACGATTGCGAGACAATTGGCCTTTTTGCGGGCAAGAGGTAAAGCGTGGAGTGACGACGTGAGTGTTTTTTTTTTTTTTTTCTCCACTGCATACGGAGAGACTTAGTCAGTTAGTCATGCTGGAGCTGGTGGTCAAGGTGCTAACAACCACAGCAACTCAAACAAGCAATAGAAAAGACTATGCAACAACAACTCAACCGAATAATGCTTCAAGAACAGCTGTCTGTTACAGAAAATTTGGGCAGCATTCAACAACCTGACAGCACTACAACCTCCACCGACACCCCCACTGCAATGAATGACGAGCAACTAGCTGATGTTGGGTTCGCTGTGCGTCTGGAGCTGGAGCAGAGGCTAAGGGGCAGTTTGGTCAGTGATTTGAAGCAGAGAATGTTCAGTGAGCAGAGGGAGAGGAATGCCGAGTATACCGCTATGATGACGATGGATCTTGGGAAGGACTCGGTTGAGGATTATGAGATTGTTTGAGGTTGTGACCGGGGGTTCAATCTCCTTTTTTTTTTCGTGTTCCGACTCGATTCCTTTCTTACCCTCGCTTTCTTGTCTGAATGGCTCTTTCTTTTCTACACCTTGTAGTTTTGCTGTGTTTTCTTTTCATGTTAGTTGGACAGTCCATATTCGGTCTTTTGGTTCTCGCGCTTTAGTCTAGGGTACATGATCGGTCTGGGCACTGGGCATCGATGGTTATTGGGAGGCTTGGCAGGCGGTTTTTTTTTTGGGAAGACAGGGGCATAGGGCATGGCATTGAGTAAGCTTCAACATAGCACACAAGTACCAAGGTAGATATGTACGGGACTCCGTTAGAAAGACAGAAATACATCACGATCGATCGATCAAACACCATCTCCTTTGGCTCTGATGTGGAACCTATAAGGCTGTGCTGTCAGTATGTTCCATGGGTGCAAAGCAGCAAGCCACACAATTGGACATAAGACTGGTTGGTCTGCTACTTTGGTTCTTCCGACGGGTCAAAACAAGGGTAGAACAAGGCCAACCCAGAGACTTGATTGGCATCAGGTAGGTAGAGAATCATTCCCGTCGTGGTTCGACGAATGACTTGGGGCTATCAACACCACAGAAGCACTTCTCCGTCCTCTTCAGAACGTATGATACCTACTAAGAAACAAACCAGGGCTGGATTGTACATGATGAATTATTGGGTGGTCCCCCTGACGCCTTGTGCTGACGTGTATGCATGTTCGCTGTGCACGATATCATGGGCCAGACAGCTGCGTCTGGCCCCGGAGCTTGCCAGGACGGGACGTGGCATCCATTGGACGTCACATGAAAAAACGTAGGTCATCGCGATGAGTGCCGTGGTTGTTGTTGGCAATTGATTGACCCTGGCAGGTGTCAAGTGTGCATGCGTGCTGCACTTTGAAGGAGGTGTTACCGTACTGCTAAGGTAACGGCGCTGTACTACCCTGGTTTAGGGGAGTGCACTAACACTTATTCAAATGCAGTGGCCCCACACCGCATTTCCCTGGATTTGTTAGACGCTTGTAGTGTCCACGTACAAATTTGATTTGTTACCTTTGGTGTACTGAATGGATCCACTTTCAACGTCCTCCGTTTTCTCAGACACTCCCTCCTGACACACCTTGGCCGGTGGCAAAGAGAAAGCATACTATTATTTTGATCGCTCGGCACCATTTCAACACGCTAGCGTCTGTTATTGCTAACAGGTCTCTTCGCGGGGTAGGCTTGGGAAAATCCCGGTTCCCACGCTGTGGCGAGCGAGAGTTATCCGGTTGGCTGAGAGGCTGTACGGCTGGTTCGCAGATGGCGCGTCCATTGACACTACTTCACACGTGTAGTCAGTCTGGGATCCGTCCGAAGAGAGCGGGCGGGGGAAAAAGTGCACATTGCCTCTCTGAGCTACGTTGAGTAAGTACCGACTACCATACCTGTTCTAAATCGCATATCTAGAACCCAGGATAAGGCGAACAGAATGAACGACAGGGAATAAGCTTCACTCAGCCACAATAAAGCAGAGAAAGTATCATTGGCCGGTTAGAACTGGGCATGATTTTTTTCGGCTCGGTGAACCAAAAGCACGACTTGGACCACCAAGCCGACGACGAAAGCAACCATCAACAACAACAAATACATACCACCACGGTAATCACGGAAACCAGCGCCGGGAGAACCCAGCGGCGCAGCGAACCTGTCCTTTCGCAGCACCTCGGAAAGATGGTACTCGCTGACAAGCAATCTTCACAAACGCAGACCCTGAGTCGGCTATCAGTCAAGCCGGTGACACAGCTAGGTAGGTGTTCGCCCCTCCCTGTCCACACCTCAAGACCCCATTCTCTGCCAGTTGGATGGACCCAGCGTCTCCTCATCACATGCAGCATATCGCAAACAGTGCGCTATCCATGTTCCTACGCTGCAGATATACAAACTACAAACTGGCAGACTTGGAGCTTTCAATTCCCGGTGTGATAGGAGTAACCAACACAATGAAAGGCCAGACGCCCTCACTCGGCGAAGATGACTTGATACAACTTTCAATTGCCAACTCACACTTCGAGGCCTCAAGTCAACATCAGACTATCTTGTCAATTACCCGCTTCCTTCCTAGCCAACCCGTTCAACGAGATCAATAGTCCCCACAATCGGCCTTCGGTGCTTGTGAACACACACGAGGCATTCTGGAATTACGTGTCGCCCCTGGTTCTCCGTACACCTTTCCCCTCGTCTTCTTGAGCCACGTTATGTAAGAAACCTCCATGCGGTGAGATAAGAGCTAATCGATAATGCACAATGACGGATGGGCGGGAATAGCTCACGAGAAAAGAGATGGGCAAGGGTTGGCAACACTCAATCATCTTAAACTGGATGGGTACCCCGCAAGGCAGATTAGAGTCCCAAATCGAAACATACTACCTCTCCGCCCGGCGCCCGAAAGATGAAAGTCAGGTACCGGACCCCCGAACTATCCTTTTCACTTCTCACCCACATGCCATTTGTCTTTCCCCTGATTTAGCACCGCACATGAGTTCGTGTAACACTGACCTCATTTTTCATTTGTCCACTTTAGATCGGGTATTCGATAACGAACGAGACTCGCAACGACAGTACCGGAATCCAGATGTCATAAGTTGCGTTCTACCTCGTAAAAAGTAGACAGTGGAGTCTTTTGGCTTGATGCCGGCACATTGCCTGCTCATGAGCGGTGTGTAGTTCCTAGAGGTAGGTTTTGCATCAACGGGCCGGCTACTACAAGTGCAGCAGAAAGATCAAATCGGCCATATAAAAGGGCATTCCCAAACTCTCATCTCCCGGATCTTCTGTTCTCCTCCGTCCAATTTCTTCTCATCAGAACATTGCGAGGTCCCTTCCCACGCACACGCTTCAGGAGCTTGTTTTGATTCGTGGCCTACCTCGCATTCTTTTCGCTTATTCTCATCGGCCCTGTTCATATTCTATCTCCACTTGAACGCTTTCTTCAACTTTGCTGCACAACTGGGTTTCAGGAGGCGTCCCAACCAAGTGGCATTTGCACCTGCGGTGTCAACCTCACCCGCTATCTCGTGCACTTTGATCTTTCAACTTTTCAGGAACCAAACAGCTTCAAGTGTCACTCACTCCAACCTTGTGTCGAATTACCATAACAGCCGCTCATCATATCTCTTCATGCTTTCATACCTTTCTTTTTGGGCACTCAGAAACATCCCTTAGCCCATCTTTTGCATTGAAGCAAAGGTCCCACGAAGGCCATTCGTTCACTAGCAAAACTCTATTCACTTCATTATCTCCCAGCCAATACGGAGCAGCAATGTCGCCTAGCCAGTCCCAGAGTGAGGTACAGGATGACCAAGATGAAAGTGCCCCCGAGCCCCAACAACCACGGACAAGCGCACCTTCACACTACCAGGCCGTATCCTCCTTTGCTGGTACCATGCCAAACGCCTTCGACTGGCAACAACGACAAATTGGGAGCGCACAATCCGGTGCCATGGGCCAGTTCACTTCTCCGTATAATCCAACCTTGGAGGCATCTGGATTTGAAGAACATCTCAACATGACTCGTCCCCCGATCACTTCGCCCTATACAGCACAAGTCCAACCCGCCTACGCGCCTCCTGTCATGCAGCATCCCGCCTTCCAGGCACAGGCTGTATTCGGGATGCCTGCAGGTACACATGCAGCACAAGCATCTCACTCTCCCCTGCACTATCAGTCTGGGGTCGACTCTTCGCTGCAGCAGGTCCACCACAACGTCTTCTCACCCAATCAATCCATACCCGGTATGACAGCCACTGGGTTCCAAGCCAACAATAACAGTCACAACTTTATGGACCACAACCACTTCATTGTCCCGCCGATGGGGCCATCCATGCCCAATTCCTATCCAGAAGTCCCACAGCCCAACGACGCGGCACTGCCAGCAAACACAAACAGCTGGACAACAGCACAAGACAATCTGGTTCGTCGCCTCAAACACGAGAAGAAGAAGGTGGCGCAAATCAAGGAGGAGCTGAAAAGGGAGTTCGGCGTGGTGAGATCGGGAAACGCCATTTCGAAGCGGTGGAAGCAGATCATGAAGAAGGATAGCGAGGAGGTAAGTTCACTTTTCTACTTTCTCTCACTCTTTCCCTTTCTCTCTTTCCCTCTCTCTTACCCTCCAGCTCTCTTTCACTCTCTCTGTAACCCTCCTTCACTATTATCACGCACTGATATCCAGGTACCTTGCCATCAATTCTTCCCCCCTTCCCCCCCCCCCCCCCCCTTTTCCCGACCCAAGTTTAGTATCTAACATCCGAACCACGGGAGCAGGAATCGAAGGCCTTAATACAAAACGTCTTACCGCCCCCGACTCAACTCCAAATGCTTCACACCGGGCTACTAAATGCCATCCCCGAGTACGCCAGCGCGCAGCACGATCCGCAGACGGCCTTGCTCATCAGCGAGATCCAAGAGGACTTCCAAAAGGGGTTCACCAAGCTGGTTGAGATGTGCGTGTTGAAGGTGCAGAAAGTGTTGAGGCATGGGGGGGCGAATCTCTGATTTTTGCCTACCTATCACCTTACCTAATGCTGTCTGCTCATATGCACTGACTGCGCAGGTTTGGAGGTACTTACAGTACGCTGATCTGGACATGGATGATGGAAGTAATCGAGTGGCCTGTACCGCGCGTCGATAGTGTAGAGGTGTTTGAGTCTATACACACCGGGGCTTGTTGTGTTTATGGGAGGTTCTCGCTGTTTACACAGTCGGGGATGCCTAGAGGTCTAAACGAAACGAAACGAATCGAAGCGAATGTATACGGTAACGATCCTTTGTCTTTCTCAGGCTTTTTCCTTCTTCATCATCCATCTCTCTTCAACGGAATCTCTTTTTTTTTCCCCTAAGTTGGTAGAGGTGCTTCAGTTATATCTCTTTCCTTTCTCACATCACTACTATCTTCGAGCAATCGAGCATTCCATAGATTAGGTATCATCCCTCTTCTTCTATAGTCAGGAAAGCCACGATACCTATCATGATATAAATACCTAGCTCGCAGTTCTCGCTGCCGTAACAAATTTGACAGATAGTCCACAGGAGAAAGAGTATGGTGGCGGCTGGATGGAGGGCAGAGATCATACTACCTCTAGGCACACGCCAGGGTAGAGGTACAGTGACCACAGAAGAACAGACAGCAGTGTCTTCCACTTACATGCAGTATGTTCTTTGGCTCCGTGGTGGATAGGTGCACAAGAGCCAAGCCCTCCGAGGCTCCGACGGTTATCGATGTCCTCTCAAATGGGACCAGGGCCGCATTCTGCTCCATAGAGGTATATGCTGTTGACTTGGCGTCAACGAGTTAACATGCTAAACTCGGTGTATATACCTAACTGAAAAAACGTGCCGTGTTTCGCACACGAATGACATCCACCAAGATACCCGTATCTGAGCGCCACGTTGAACATGTGTTTCAACAATATCAGGAGTCGCTGGGCCACGAAGGGCCACTCCGGTAAACCAGTGTCAACGTGTAAGAACATACCAAACTCCAAGGTGGGAGTAAGGAAGGGACCAGGGAATAATGCCGAACCACCGTCTATTGATGAGGTAATGTGCCCGCTTAGGTTCGCGAATAGGTAGGTACTTAGCCACGCTTTCATTAGTGCGTATGACGAGCTATTCTGCTGAACTGGAAAGGATCATGAACTGATAGGAAAAAAAGAGTCCGGTGGAGGATTGATTGATGACTTGTAGATGAGCAGCAAGTAAGAAAGGTTGGTATTTACCTTCTGGTCTCAAGTTGGATGATTGTTCTTCGTGGAGAAATTTGTTCCCAGTCACGTATGTGGTTCATCGTTGTGTGAGACGCACTAGGGTTGATGTCTCGAGGACAACTAGCTGACCTGTATCGAACTGACAGACTTACCAGAGAAGTGCAACTCGCACAGAGCCACAAGCCCCGATGTTGCAATCCTTTCACATGCTGTTGTCATTCTCAAGTCTGTGCTCTCAATCTCTTTGGCAACCTCGGCGTTTGAGGTGCTTCAGGATCACACTTTTGACATTGCTCGCCTGCCTTTCTCCGGTTGTATTGCAGATGAGTCGGGATCGTAGCATTGAGACTTCAATACCATCGACAAGCTAGACTGTTCTGGTGGTCCAGGTACCGGTCCAACCGCAACCCACTAGTGCTACACAAACAACCACACAGGTTTCTCCACAGCTGTTAGCCAGTCAGGATGGCAGAAGAATAAATAGAGAACTTGCGAATATTAACAGTGAGTGATAGGGGCTTGACAGCGGTTCTGACAGGTGATCGTCGTCACTTAGCTGCTAGACCACGAGCCCAGGGTACGTGGTTCTTGCAGAGATTTATAGAGTGGACGGCAGGCTGAACTTGACCCCGTCTCAAGGATTTCCTATCCCCTGCTGCTGACATTCGTTTTGACGCCTCAATAGAAATACTGATTACAGAAGAGTTACCTCACATAATGACATAAAGCAAGGATGAAAAGAATGATGGTAGAAACGGGGTAGTGTTGCATTCATTTCCGCGGGCAAACCCATTTGTGTTGGAATTGGATCCAGGTACTCTCCCTGTGCCTACTGAGAAAGGCAGCTCGAGGGATGAGAGCGGACACTCTTCACCAATATCACACACCAACTCCGAGTTTGATGTAACCTCCTTATTCCCATTGTGGTGCACATGGCCCCCAGTGTCCCCGAACACGGACGCAATGCCACAATGGCTGACGTTGAACAGAAGATCCGACCCACTTGGATCTCCATCGATGTCACCCCCTGGTTTTTGCGGGGAGTCTAGGATAGGTAAGTAAGCGAGGAAGCATTGCATAATGACAAGAGAGAGAATCCGGAATACATAAAGGCGCCCAAAATACCGTGCAAACCCTTCCATTTCAGGTATGTAGTAACCTAACCTGCGAACCTACATTCCCACATCAACCTTACCAATTTCTCTTTGCGCATCGAAGGATTGATGAGCCAGCAATGAACCGCGGGGAAAGTGAAGGGATAGTCCCGTCTATAGTGCAACGGCAAGGGGCGGGTAAGCCCGCCGGCCCACCAATCATGATCGACTCGGTCAACATCATGCTCAACACTTGTCAGTTCTGCGCTGCCTTTCAGGGGAACTATGTTGATGAGGAAGAAAGATCTGCATCGTGAACGAAACGCCTCCTTCATCCGTCGGAGGGTGAGAGCCTCTCGTGAGTGATACGATTGGTGTTACTGCCCAAAAAGATCAGCGGTAATGGCCAAGCAACCTTACACCGACACTGTGTGTACGGGCCGCACATTGCTGGCATCCGACGTCGTGAGGAAGTCAGAAGTTGAGGCTGGGGGAAACCGAGGCCGATCGTGTTTTGCCATGTGTGATTCGGTGCTTCGTTACCCATGTTGTTGTGTCTCCGAGTTGTGGTTGTTGGACGAAGGGTCAGGAATTGGACGGAAAAGGTATAAAGAGACCTTCTCATCCGCCTTTATCAACGGCTTTTCTTGTCTCGTCATCAGCATTAACAGCCTCTTCAATTCTAGAACTTCCAACACTTCCAATCAACACCCCAAACAACCCCTCAACAACCTTCAAAATGAAGTTCACCACCATCGCCCTCACTCTCTTCAGCGCCATCGCCATGGCCCAGGACTGCCCTCAGGCCACTCTCATGCCCGCGTGCGCTGTACGTTCTCCCCTCTGATACCTTGAATTCTCGAGGTTTGTGTCAGCCATTGACTCACAGTTTCACAGGCCCCCTGCGTCAGTTCTGCTGCCTCCGCCGTCGGCTGCAATGGAGCTGATTACGCCTGCCAATGCTCCAAATCTTCTCAGATCGTGGCTTCCGCTCAAGGTTGCGTTCTCGGAGGCTGCGGCATTGAGGCCGCCCCCACCGTCATCAGCGCCGCTTCTGCCATCTGCAGTGCTTGCGCTTAAGCGGTGTCCTGTCAGTGTCGACAACGAAACGACGAAACGACTTGTTCTCGCGATAATGAACGATATCATGAGTGCATGATTGGGCTGTGTTGCTTTTGTCCTCTTTGACTGGTTGGTTTGGTTGGACTGGCTGAGTCGGAAGGGATGGTTGTCTGTTTGGCTTTGATCCGTATCATTGGTTCTTCTTCGGAAACAAAATAGATAACTGCAGTCTCAAATCCAGTTCCGTGTTGTTGTTGCCAGTGATACCTGTGACAGATCTGCAAGAAAGGGCCCGACAGTCGGTAAAGGTAAATACGGGAGATTGAGTGTCAGATAGAAAGTTAAGTTCGTGATATTGCTATGCAATATTGCAAGGCGAGAAGGTTAGAAATGATAAGGTGAGGAACGAAAGGTAGCAGGGTGAGAACAAAATGAGAAGAGGGTGAGAAATGTTTCTCGGATTCTTGGTGGGACCAGAGGTCATCGCATGGGGCTCTGTTCATCAGTTGAAAGAGGTAGACACTATAGAGGATATCAATGTCGAGGCAGTGGGGTAGTATCCTGTTGTAAGTTGAAGGGCGCAAGGGATAGCATCAAGCAGTACTTGATTGAACAATTGGGAGAGGCCGTCCTCCTGTCAACTCCAGATCTTGTACCAAGACGTTGAGTAAGTCTTGTTGGATGACGGGGTGAGTGTTGTTGTTCGACGATGGAAGTCGAGGACGAGAAGTTCCACTTGTCGCCGAGGCCCAAGATCACAAATGGTGTGTGCTTTGTGTGACACGTGATTTGGCATTGATCTCTCTAGTGCACAGACCACCTCCAGCTGTGCTGTCATGTCTGATGGTCCAAGCTGCAGCGCGTTTGTGACGCGGTGATTTTCAGAAGGGTTCCCGTCAATTCCAAAACCATCGATCGATCCAACAACACCAACACCACCACCGACATCATCCACATCGCCAACCACTCTTTCACACCGTAATACCGTTTCTTTCCACGACGCCATAATACCCAATTGATAAGGCCATGATAACGACATTACAATAGCGTGTCCATCTTTTTTCTGTTGATTCTTCTTTGCGAACTTCTCGACTCTCGACGATGCAGTCGACCACTCCTAGAACACGGCGCACGCCGCAAAGTACACAGTTCACGTGCGCACAGTCCTTCACTACCGCCGTACCAACATGAAAGAAACGCAAAGCTGACTTTGGTCCATCAGATACCCCCTTAAGAGCCGAGTGTACGACATCAAGACATACCCCGTCCAGACTGCCCAGGGCTCCACTGTCCTGATCTACGGCCACGAAAATGGCGTTGCTCTGATTTGGCGAGGCGGTCGCAAACTCAAGATATCAAAAGAAGCAGCAGGCGCGGCACAAAATGGGGGGAAGCCGGAAGACGCCGTTATGATTATTGACTCGGACGATGAGACTCCGGCCATTCCATCGACACCCTTCGTGGACAAGCCCGAGTTCGACGACACCGTTACTACCGATGCTTCCTCGCTCGCCGACATTGTCCAGACTCTCGACCTGGCATTTGGCACAGCCGTCCACCACATCGCTGTATTGCCCATGTCCACCTGCACCGCCCAAGACGAAGCCTGGAACGGAGCGCAGATCCTGAAAGAGAAACTCGTCTTTGCCGTCACATGCGCCAACGGCGACGTCTTTGTCGTGACACTACCACTGACACCTCCATCAAACGAGAGCAAGGCGCGGCCGGCGCTGAAGAACAACCTGCTCGCTGGAAATGCGGGCAAGGGTGCATGGGGGGAGACTCTGACATTGCTAGCAGGCCAGCGCAAACCTTCGGAAGGAGTTGCCATTACGCTCGTGAAGGAGCAGCCAGGGTTGGAGTCATCACAGGGCCGTAAGGGGTCTGTAACCCGTGTCGTTGTTGCAGCACACACGCGCGAGGCGAGCGGAACCCTTCGCTTCTGGGATGTTCCCTTGGACGCAACGCCCGGCACGACTGCTCGTGTCGAACCGTTCCAGACTGAGTACCTCCCGTCACCACTCGGCGGCATCTCGTTCAACCCGCTGCACGTCACGCAGCTTCTGGTTGTTGATCCAGCGCATGCGGTGCGAATCTACGATTACTCCATCCCATCTCTACCTTCGGACGATACCTCAGAGGGCCCATTCCCTACCCAGGGCTCATGGCTAATCTCCCTCTACCAACCATTCGCTCGCGGGACGGGCATGTCCACGTCTCGCAAACCCGTCGTCGGCGCCGAGTGGATGGCCCACGGCCGGGCGATCCTCGTGCTGCTGGCCGATGGTCAATGGGGTATCTGGGACATTGACAACGCCAAGCCGACCACTGCCTCCTCGGCCGGTCTCTTTACCAAGGCCAGCTCTGGCCTCCGCGGGTCAGCACTCACCCAATTCAGCGTGTCGGGCTACCTAGAGGGAACCGCTACCGGTGGGCAGCCCCAGCGCAATCTTCCCACCACAACACAGAAATCCGCACCCCTCATCGTCCCCTCGGCGGTTTCCGCCAGCGCCAGCGCCCCCGAAAAGCTCGCCACCGTCAGAGGCGGCGTCTATGTCTCCCAACTTCCCCTCCCCCGCAACGGCCTAGGCGAAGAGTCTGCAATCCTGTGGCTTTCCAACACCGGCGCCGATCACATTAACCCTATCCTCTGCACCATTGCCATCCTCTCCCGGTTCTGGGACGCCCAGCTTCAGCGAACTGGAGGCAGCCTTTGGACCAGCAGCACCCAACCGGCCGCGCGAATGCTCCGCCTCACCGACCTCAACGCCGGCTTACTAGGCGAGCGCCTCACATCAGCCACCGCTATCCCCCGCTCGACCGGATCTCTCACCGAGTCAACAGAAGGGAAGCAGCTCCCTATCGAGACCATCGTGCTAGGCGAAAGTAGGATGGTAGTCATCCACGAAAACGAAGATGCGTTCGATCAAGCTGCCGCAGCAGCAGCAGCCGCCGCCGCCGGTCCTTTCTCATCCACCGAACGCCGTCTGATACCCCTACCTGCCCGTAAGAAAGCCAGGCTGGATCTGACAAGCGGCACCGCCAAGGCGATCATCGCCTTCCCGAAGCCTGAACAACCCAGCTCCAGGGCGTTCAACCTCAGCTTGGCCCGTCCTGAAAACGGAGAGAAACTGCTCAGACCCAAACTGCTGGAGGCAGCAGCCAAATCCCCGAGCGCAAGCTTCGACGGCGCGGCATCAACACAAGAGATTGACGAGGGAGGGGTTGCCCCCGATAGCCAAGACACTGTTGCGTTTAGTGCCTATGGAGGAGGAAAGAGCCAGAGCCAGGGCCGTGATCCGGGCTTGTTGTTCATCAACGATTTGAACTTCGCTGCGGACGTGGAGGATGACAAGTCGGAGGCGGAGGGAAGAGATATCGAGGCCGAGTTAATGGATATCATGGAGATTGATAGAGAGTTGGAGGAGATGGAGAGTCAGAGGGGTAAGCAGGGGACTAAGAGGGTGTTTTTTGAGGAGGGCTGAACGTTTACGGGCTTGACATGGCGACAACACATCTACGAGACGGACGCGATAACACCGACCTGAAGACGTCGCACATCCGAATGACACCACCGGCGTAGTAATCTACTCCAGCACCCCGGTTTTGCCCTACGATGAGAAACAGCACCGACGACAAGCAGTGCCGAGTATTTGTCTACCCACCTACCGACGGATGAGAATATGTGGAGGGGAGGAATTATGCAAAGTTGTCTACAGATACCCGACAATGCTAACTTTTCCCATAAACGAGAAGGACATTTTCTGCTGTGGGCATGCATAAGATGCCCTTGAATGAGAACGAAAGACAATCACCAGCATCGTCTCTTCAGCCAGACAGGGACTGTTTGCATCTCTGCTATCAACTTTCACTTGTCCTCTTCGTTTCGCTTGACCCCTCACCCTTGATTCTCTCACATCTAGTTCTATGCCTTGAGTTACCAGCTAACCTCAACAAGTACTCCCATCAGTTTCGTTTTCACGTCCCGGTCAACCAACCATTTCATCCCTTTTTAATCCAATTTTTTTTTTTTTTTTTTTTTTTTTCGTTTCTTTCCCGACACACTTCCACTCCACTTCCACTTCGTTGCACTTCCACTTCCACTTCCACTTCCACTTCCGCTCTACAAGTCTACCTACCTACACCTACCCACCTCCCTACCTACCTAGCACATCCCATATATCCCACACACATCCTCTCTATATACTCCTCCCCACAATACATCCTCCTCCCCATTTTCTCCGAAAACATTCCTCCTTTTTAGAAACATTTCCGCACGTTCAGGTGGAGCACAAGGCGAGATCAATCCTTGATTCCAGGCTCTGTATTCCGAGCGGTACATCAAAACAAGTAAATCCCAAAGGGGAAAGAACTTGTCAGCGTCACTTTGGTGGGATTTTGTACCAAGAGTACAAGTGGTGGGAGAAGAAGAATCTTTTTTCTTCTTTTTTATCCTGGCTTCCTTTGCCTTTCGGGCAGTTTTGATAGGAAGTCGGGTTTTTGTGCGCTGATACATTTTGATACTCTACTAAGAAATATGTTCACGTTTGAAAAGGTACAGCCATAGGTGAAGTGAAATGTAATAAGATTACGATTCGACTCTTGATGAATTTCTAAGAGGAAAACTTCGTCATGGTCATCATGATGCAATCAATAACTGCTGTGCGCGCGTCCCTGAACGCCTCTGCTTTCCCTTTACCCATCCATCCATCCATCCCTGTGAAACTGAATGGTCCCGTTCTTCAATCCCAAATGCAAATTCCGTTCTTTTTCTCGGTTGAACCCCTCTTTAAGAGAACTCAGATTGCTTGCCAGCCTCCTTGGCCATCTTCTCCGTCTCCTGAGTCATACCCTTGGCCTTCCCTTGTCCCTCGCTCACGGCACCCTTCGCCTTACCGGCAAGCTCGCTGGCCTTACCGCTCGCCTCATGCTTGAGCTCCTGGGCCTTTCCCTGCACATCACCACCAGCAGCCTCGTTGGCAGCACCCTTGGCCTTTCCAGCGAGCTCTGAAGCCTTGCCCTTAGCCTCGCCAGTCAGCTCAGAAGCAGCGCCAGACAAGTTCCCGCTCGTCGCCTCGTTGGCAGCGCCCTTGGCCTTGCCCGCCAGCTCAGACGCCTTGCCCTTGGCCTCGCCAGCAAGCTCAGAAGCCTTGCCCTTGGCTTCTCCCGCTAGCTCCGAGACGTTGCCCGAGGTGGCCTCGTTGGCAGCGCCCTTGGCCTTGCCTGTCAGCTCAGAAGCCTTACCCTTCGCCTCACCAGCGAGCTCGGAGGCCTTGCCCTTGACGTCCTTGGGGATGGCGTCGGCGGCGTCCGAAGCGGCATTGCTGGCGGCGTCCTTGACGCGGGAGGCGAGGTCGGAGGGCGAGGAAGCGTTGGTGAGGGTGTCGGCGGTTTCTTTGAGTTTTGAGGCTACGTTGGCTGTTTTTTGAGGAGGAAATGAGTTAGTGAGTGTTTTGGTTATTGTTGAATGAAGGAAGAGGAGAGGAAGAAGGGGGAATGCGTACAGCCAATGTCCATGCCATCGAGGGCCTTGTCAGAAACAGCGCGGTTGACGGTGTTGAGGGTGTCCTTTACGGTCTCGGAGATGGACTTTTGAAGAGTGACGGAAGAAGAGAAGGCGGCGCGGGGCGTAGAGACGGCGGCGGCGCGGGGGATCTGGGTGGCGACCCTGCGAGTAGCAATTGTGAAGGCGGACATTGTGATGATGTGTGGTTGGTTGTTGTGTTTATGTGTTGGGTATCTTGGGTGTTGTTGTTGTTGTTGTCGTAGTTCAAATTAGATCCTCTGCTTTGGGATTCGGTTCGTGATCTTTTTCTCGTTATTTGTTTGAGAGAAAAAAAAAAGTTGTTTGCTTGATTATCGGTGTTTGTGTGACTGAATGGAAAGGGAAGAAGGATTTGTCTCAAGATGGAAGATGTTGTTGCTTATAAAAAGGCTGTTTGTTTGTTCCTTCCTCTCACGTTTTGTTGTGGTGATGTCATAGGTATTGTGAAGTGCAGCTGCGTGTAACCCCTGCAGGCCAATGACGTCCTCTTGCGGGGAAGGTGCGTGTGAACCTCGCTGGTCTTTGTGAGCGAGGGAGGTACCCGCGTACCTTGCACAATTCTCGGTTCAGCTTGTTCGGTCTCCTTTAATCCAAATCTTACAAATGGTTTTTGAAATTGTACAAATTGTACAAATTGTCAAGTTCCCGTGCCTTGGTTGTACTTGGGAACTATCACCTGCTACTCCACCGCCAACGATCATGGCTCGCATGTAAACAAGCACGGAACGCCGGAGACAGCTGCATCATCTAGGCTTGACAGCTTTTACAACTTGTGAAGCGATGATGCCAGTGAAATCTGTCAGAAGAGCGAGACTTAGGTAGAGCTGACACAAGTGCTTCGGTCGAGGTTCGTGTAGTTAATGCCTGATTCAGAGTCTTGACGAGAAGCAACAACACCACATGTACACTTTCCACTTCACATGCCAACCAGCACCAAACACCGTCACGCCAACCATCATAAACATTTGAGAGCTCCCACAAGTCTTTTTGGAGGCTCCTTTCGATAGTGTAATTACCGGCGCCCATCGGGGCCTAGAGCGGTAGATCGCAACTCGTCAAGTCCCGTGGCTGTCACCCACGTCGAAAGCTTGGCACCTTGATGGGCCTTTTGGTGGACTCCATGACGTTACCACTCATTCAGGTACCTAGCTACACCAAAAATACCTGCACCAGGGGCATCACAGCCTCAACAACCATTAACTTACCTTACCTGATTGTCTGTATCAGATGGATCCGTGACGCCTTCTGACGCTTGACAAAACATGAAGCAAGTTACAGCGATGGAACCAAATGTATCCATGGTCCATCCATGAGGAGAAACCCCGGTGACCCATCACTCTCACTACTCTTCCAGTCTTTCAGTCATGTGGTGTTTGACTTCAAACTGGTAATGGTATTTCCAAAACTCACATCACTCTACGGCAACCCATTTACCGCCCCTTGAACACGGGCTTCCTCTTCTCCGCAAACGCCTTCAACGCCTCATCGCGGTCCTCCGTCCTCACCACCCTCAGATACATGTCGTTCTCCACCATCTCACTGGGCTCCTGCACGGCCTTGAGCGCGGCCCTGACGGCGACCGGGCCGCCCTCGCAAATCTCCTGCGCAAGACGGACCGCCTCGCTCAGCGCCGTCCTGCGCGCCAGGCTCAGCACCATCTTGTCCCTCGGCTCCTGCTCCATGGCCGCCCACTCCTTGGCTTGCTCCTCGGATTCGGGCGCGACCTCGACCAAGCGGTCAGCCAAGCCCAGGAAATAAGCCTCGGGGGCGCTGACGCGGCGGCCGGTCAAAATCAGGTCGCGCGCGCGGGGGATGCCGATGAGTTGGGGCAGACGGTAGGTGCCGCCGGCACCGGGGATGATGCCTAGTCGGGTTTCGGGAAGGCCGACGACGGCGTTGGATGTCAAGACGCGGAAGTGCGTGGCCAGAGCGAGCTCGAGACCGCCGCCGAGAGCGATGGAGGAGATGGCGGAGATGGTGGGGATGGGGAGGTTTTGCAAAGAGGTGAGGGCGGTGCGGAGGGATGTGAGGAAGGCGGCTGTTCTGTTTCGGGATGAAAAAGAATCCGTTAGCCATCCGGATGATTAGGGAAAAGTTGGGAAGGGTTGAAAAGAAAGAAACAAAAGGTAAAAGCTTACTCCTCCTGCGAAAACCCCTTGCGCTCCTTCAGATCCGCACCCGCGCAAAAGCTGGTGTCAACAGCCGAAGAGATAATCAACGCGCGGGTAGGGCCCTTCTCGTCCTCGCCGGCCACGCCGCCGAAGCGCTTCTGCCACGAGGCCACAGGCTTCTCCTCACCGGTCGCGGCATCGTACTGCGAGTGGACATCGTCGATCTCATCGCGGAGCGAAGACAACAGAGCACGCGAGATGGCGTTGCGCGCAGCGGGGCGGTTGAGCTCGAGAATGCGGATGTGACCCGAATTGGGCGCCGGAAGGTTGGTCACCCGGATGATGGGGCCGGCGGGGGCCTCGGTCGAGTAGAAGCGGCCGGCGACGCGAACGAAGCGGCGGAACGACGAGGTCGTGTTGCGCGGGAGAGCGATTCTGACGGCCATATTGTGGGTGAGTTTGGTTGATGCAATTGGCCGGTGATGTCGAAAGATGCAATTCAGTTGTGACAAACACACAAGTCCCGAGATTTGGAATCGATAAATCTTATCAGTAGGTGAGCTCGGCCCAAAAATTGGGTGGAGAGCGGCATGAGCTTCAAACAGCGGGAAGCTGCAAATGACGTCGTGTTTTCCCCGGAGATGCGGAGAGACCTAGCTGCCCCTGCTCCGGCTGTTATGGAACTCCCCCACAACGCCGAGCTTCAGAAGCAGTTGCACTAACATGGAATTCACAAGCCGAACGGAAAACATCATCCAGCATCACTGCAAATACACGAAGCTTTCTTCCTCGAAGATGTGAGGCATCAAGTCGCATTCATGAATGTTTTCTACCCTTTCATATCCGCATCCAGCCGAGTCATTGTCACCCCCAGTTAGGTATCGCAAGCAAAAACCATGGCCGAGGATAGCCGGGCGGCCCGTCCAAATCCGGAAATAAGCTCGCCCTGTAGATGTACGACCATCTAAGACGCATGACCAAGCACGTGATACCCCAAATCCTCATCACGCCTCTTTTCTTTCTTCAGATCCGTTCGTGTTCCTCGATTGTCCGCCGAGTTCCTTGTTCACCCGAAGGCGACAGAAACAATCCGCAAGAGACTGCAAACTCAATCATCCTCCTCATCCTTGGAAAACATGACATAGATGTTGCCGTTGGTAGCCACGTACGCTCCACCACCCGTCATCTCAGTCTGCATGCCCACAACGCCATCAAACTTGCAGGCGTCTGCGTTCAGGTCTTTCTGTCAGCGCGATCTTATACATAATCTATTTCATGGGGAAAATAGTTGTAACTCACCCAAAATAAGCTTTCCAGCAGCAGCGATATCGGACCTACAACCCACGTCCCCAACCCACAGTTAGTATAAGTCACCCAAATCCCCTCCAACAACAACAAACCCAAGTAGGTAAGCTTCAGACGACGACTAGAAAAAAAATACTCACGCATCAGCAACCTGCGTCCCCCGCATACTAACCCCCGCCCAAAATTTGCCACTGCTCCTCTCGCACAACGCCCTCCCCGGCGCCGGCACAGTCATCTGCTCGCTGCCCTTGGCAGCAATCTCGTCGAGACAAGAGCGTGCGTCGAACATGGTCATGAACCCTTCCGGGTCGGACACGCAGGTCGGGGTGGTGTCGACTGTGGAAGAACCAGTTTGGCGGCGGCTGGTGGTGACGACGGTCTTGTGGTGTTTGTTGATTAGGTTGAAGGGCAGGTTGGCGTTGCCGTTGCCGTTGCTGTTGATGGGGGTAGGAGAGGCAAGGGCCAGGGGGGCGCTGAAGGCGATGAGGCCGAGGAAGAGAGAGGGGATGGTGGAGAGTTGCATTTTGGGTGGTGGGTGGTTGGTTGGTGAGTATTGAGTGGTTTGGTGAGGGATGGGGTAAAGGTTGGTACGAGGAGGTAGTGAGGTTGGTTGATGATGAGGGAAAAGTAGTGGATGGGGAAGGGGGGATATGGTGGTCTTTTATAGTTTCGAGTCTAGCTACTGGTGGATTGTCCTCGTGGTGATATGGCAATGATGACGATGATGGCGATGAGATGATGGCTGCCTTCGAGGTACGTTTGTCTGTCGTCCAGTCTGCGCCGTTTGACTGATTTCAGCTCATGCTAAAGAACGGAGAAAAGTTGAAGTCGGTGAGTAGGTAACTTGATTCATGCGTGCTTTGTTAACGAGATGAAATGGTTGTCAAGAAACACAATTGATGAGCAATTTCTCCAGATTCATCCTATATGCTTCCAGTTCTTCCTGGCCGCCATCACGAAGATCAACTCGAATGCCCCCAAGTTCACCCCTACTGTGTAATCCTTCATCCATCTCAGTTACTTCGAGAACACCAGCCAGATACTCGTGCCCTCCACGTTGTCCGTGCCAACCACCCAGCCATCCTTGCTACAAGTATCTGTATTTCACCTATCAGCACAAGTGACTGAACTCAACAATCCTCAACTCCCCCTTCCGAGTACTAGCCAAGATAAGAACTCACCCAAGATCCTCGACGCAGCCTTGGCAATCGCTCCTCTACACCATCACCGCAACGCTCATTTGTCAACAATCACTTCCACAAAACAGATCTCGTCCGGTATCTACTTAACTTCCTTTCCAATCCTTTCCTCTTCATCCCACCCTTCTTCCACCAAGCCCCACATTTCCCCTACGTACCAAACACTTCTCCCTTTCCACCTTTTCTTTCATCCAAACATTACAGCCTCTTCATGCTTAAGCCCCCAAGCACATCTCCAAAGCCCCAAACAACCTAAATGTGTACCAAAAATGAAAGACTGGGGAAAGGGAAAACCTCACTTGGTAGTTCTCTGGTCTTCAGTCCCACTAACCCCTGCGCGCAGCTTCCCACTCCCCCTGACGCACAAGTCCTTCGTGCCAGCCTAAGGGATGACTACCTCTTCGTTTGGGTGCAAGTAGAAATCAAGTAGACACAAGCTTCCGTGGGACTCCCACATTCTAGAGTCGCCTGGGATGATGTCGCATCTGACCTCGCGTTTGGAGATGGATGACTTATTGCGGGAGTTGTAAGAAGAGGAAATGGCTTGTTTTGGGGTGAGGTTGGATGGAACATTGGGGTTAGAGGTGGGAACTGCTGTTTTGGAGGGGGTGATGATGGCCCAGACGGCCAAGGGTGAGAGGTGGGTGAACTTCATTGTGAGTGTGGGGGTAAAAGAGTGAGTTGTGGAGGTAGTGGGTTGGGATGGATTAGTGGTCCTGTGGTAGACATTGGTGGGATTCTCACCCTTTATACCGCGACCTATTGACTTCCGCCAGTATCTGCCCTTTCAGACTTGACGTTGGCTTCTAGCACCACCCCCTTTCCTTGATTCCTCCATGAACGGAAGGTCAAAGATGCAGAAAATGTTGCTTTCGTTGGGTCAAGAACTGTGCCAGCCTGATCACCCGGATCAAGCAGCTCGAGGTATAGAAAGTCTCATGTTAGTTTCCGCAAAAAAAAAAAAAACAAGTATTTAGGGTTGTTTGCCATGCCGTTGCCGTGGTTGGTGCTGTTGGTCATGTTGGTTCGGTTGGGTGGTTTGCCAGTTACCTGTATTCGCGGCACGGGGCAATCTATACCGTTGAGCAGCACCAGGGTAGGCTGAGCCTCGGTGTAAGAAGAGCTGCAGTGGAAAAAGGTTGTAGTATGCCAAAAGATCCGGAAAAATTGCTAGATTCTGTATTCCAAAAGGGAAAACCACCCAAATCATGAAATTAGGGTGACTTTCATGATTATATACACATTTCTAGTCGCCCCTACATACCGGCCTACTCTGGTTTGGGCAGTCCTCTCTTCCCTCTGTCTGTCGCTGGTCTTGCTCCTTCCTTCCTTCCTTCCTTCCTTCCTTCCTTCCTTCCTTCCTTCCTTCCTTCCTTCCTTCCTTCCTTCCTTCCTTCCTCACTCTCCTCCTTCTCAGCCAACCCTGAGTTCCTGCTCTTCTGGACATAGCAGAATTCCTGTATCAAGGCAGTACTACCTTCTGCATCATCAGACGCTGTCCCGGAGATGGTGCCCTGGTATGACCGCCCAACCGCTGGAACGGTAGGTAGTTTTGGATGTTAACAACTTAACCGCTACGCAGTGTCTTTACTAACACTTGGCGCCAAGACTTTTTTTAGGTAGTTAGAAACTCGGGCGGGCACGTTTCATACGCAAAACACACCACTGCACCTTTCTCTACCAGCGAGGACACTCTGCGATAAAGTTTGCACCAAGTCTCTAACAGATACAGTGAGTGACCTTAGACAGACTTTGATGGATTCGCTTTGTAATAAACTTCTTTCATCGTTCGAACAGTTGAGGAATTTTTTCCCCTTTCGGAAGGCCAATCTGGTAAGAAGTGAGACTCCCCGGTGTAAGGCGATAGGCGTCGGTCGCACGTGTTATGTGTCGCTGCTTCGCCCGTTGATGGGATGCTTAAACCCTTTTTTTTTCGCTTTACTTGGAACCGCATATGGGACGAAGTGGCAAATGTACCTGATTGATGACTTTTTTGCATCACGTCTCTGTTTTTGCAACTGCCTACTGGAGAGGGTCCAAGGTGCTGGATTCGGCTAAGCTGGAGGCAGACTGTGGCCATGGGATAATAGCTCGATAGATAGGTACGTATTTCGTAGCGAGTCTAGACAGTAGGTAGATACAGACAGGTAATTGCAGAGTGGAAGGAAGTTGAAATTGTGTTGAATTGTTGCTGAGGTGGTTCTATCTGTAACGACAGATGAAGAATGATGAACGTCAAATGATGTAGATATCCCGTTCGGGAACAGGCTTGAGCCCCTCCACAGACCCAAGACAGCCTACACGTTGATAAATGTCGCTCCCTGCCAAGCAGTCATCCGACGTCTGACAGAGAAGAAGACATGAGAAAACTGGCTTGAATTCTTCGTAGATGATTTCCCCTGTAATTGGGAAAATAAATAGTCGAATATGCTCGGACAGCTCGTTCAGAGTTTGGAAGCAAATCGATCTTCGTACCGCACCGTCCACGATTCCCTCTTTTCTTTGGTCAAGCTGGCCCTGGGAATGCTCAAGATAGCTGACTGAATCTTTGCCATTCAGACGTTCATCGAAGGCGCCGGGACCGATTATCTTAGTGGCTGGCCCTTCATATCTTGGATGGCCAGGCCACTTGGGTGCCTGACTGCCCAGTAGCACTTCAACTAAACAGCCCTTCAGATGGATGACGCCTCCTTTTACCTCCCCAGCTTTATAACGCTCAGACTGATGGATGGCTTTTGCTGTAATGACCTTGCACATCGACCACGAGAGCAATAGGTTGCTATGTTGGGGGGGTGGGGGGCGAACAGGTCCTTCCAGCGAGATCCAGGACCAAGAAGGAGCGCGATATTCATCCGAGCGGTACGTTGGTTTTTCGTGAGTCGCCCGAAAGAGAAGATAATGAGGGAGTTCTTGGCGCCAGATGCCGGCCAGATAGTCATTGAGGTCATGTCCTTGATCTTGAGCGTATCGTTGAGCAATCCCGGAAAAGGCTATTAGCCTGTCTTTTGTCTTGGTAATATCGCAACTGGAATATCTGTGGATTTTTCCAAGCCAATCGCGTCGGTAGTCTCCCTCAAACCAGGTATGGCTAGTAATTGGCCCGCTTAGTGAAGACATACCTAACGATGCGTTATGGTTATCTCTTCGCTTGCACATGTTGTAATATTGCTGGCTCTCTTCCGTTTCCCATTCATAGTCCTCTGGACTCCATACGCCCGAAGGATGCGTCTCGCAAGCCCAGTGTTGTTGGCAATGCCACCACATCTGGGATCGAGCGAGGTCGATGCGGCGCCGAGCTAAGTTCGCCTCCTGGAATACCCAGGCCCGTGAGTGGAGAGGCGAGTGTACAATGTCTTCTTGCCTCAGGTCCACCCAACTTCTCGCAAACCAGAATCTCGATGGTCCATGCTTTTCCCCTCTTCTATTGGGAGTCTCACCTTCAAGGAGCAGGATACTTGTGGCATCTCTGTGTGTGAAATTGCTTTGTGAGCTGTCGGGCGCCGCGGTGGCACTCAAGTTGATAGAGCAATGCTCGAAGACGTCCTTCATCATGGCCGCCTCCTCAGCCCAATCCTTTTCGTCGTCTTGGATGACGCACAGCGAATCGATCCATATGTAAGAGAAACCAAGGGCCAAAGTGACAGAGATTCCTTCTCTGTAGGTCGTTGGCAACTCTGTGATGCTGATATGCTTGAGCAGGTCCACCATGTTGCTCTTCTGGAGTTTGAGTCGGCTTACAGTTCCCCAGCAGTGCGACAGAGCAACATATGGGTAGTGAGCATTGCAATCTTCTGTTTCCACTATCCTCGCAGAATACTCATTCTCTATGAGCAAGAGCCTCGTTGGACTAAACGAGGGACTTGAAGGGCGGCAGTAGGGGTGGTTGTTGTAACATTCTTTGAACCAATACTTCAGTAAACCAATCATGTCTGGTTCACGCTGTACAGAAGATGGTGTCGATCTTTGTTCATGATCATCAGTGACTTTTGTATTGAAAGTTCGCAAGTCAATTTGATTGCCTTTTTTCTGTCAACCCTTTTTTTTGTTATTATTTTGCTCGAGAGGGTACATGACTCACCATTTGCGATAGGCCGGAGATGAAAATGAAAAGGAAAGGAAATTGATCCTAAGAGTAACATGCTTCCTAGTTTTGGTAGCCACTTCTCCCTAATCTCGTCAAGACCTTCAATAGCTTGCCTGAGTTTGGGCGAGTCATCCGTGAGACAGGTGGCTTCAACTGTAAGAGTCAAGTGAGAGCCGTTGTAATTAGTCCCTAGAGACACTGTAAAGTCAAACGGAAAGCCTTTGGAGGCCAAGTAGGATATATCCCTCCAATGGCAACTTTTTGTGATTGACTGGCATATATAGCATCCCTCGTCTGCCGCTTGAAGGAGGTTGTGTAGACTCGAGTGATGTGGACTCCCCCATTTGAACCCTTTCGGTTGCCAGTGGGGTACAAAGCGGTTGCAAACCGCGCATAGGTGGGTCGACATTATGGCGTTTAGGTGGGACTTGTTCAAAGAAATGGATTGATAGTAATGGTAGGAATGTCACGGTGTTTTGCGTTGGAGGGAAGAAAGATGGAAGACATTGACGTGGCACGGCGGGAGTTTCGCCGGTTACCGCCTGGAGATTAGAGTGGAAAGAGAGAATTGGTGCCTTCCACTGCTACCCCTTTGCCCGGGCGGAGAGAAAGTTGCTAGTACAAAAAACGCCCTACGATTCTTTTACCAACAAAAAGAGCGAAAACTCACCTCTGCCACTTCTCAATTTTCCTACTCAATACCTTTAAAAGTAGATGCACTTAAGAAGCAATGAGATAAATGGTTCTAGTTATTCCAATTGAGGTTGGTATTAAATTCGCCTTTTTTGTAATCGGGTGACTGGTGTCAAATATAGAGCGTAAAAATAGAATTCAATTATAGTGAACTTACAGCGCATTACAGTGGGTAGAAATCGAGATGCTTACATGTAGAAGTGACTTTGGTACTTGAGATCTCGCGCTCGTCCTCAATGTACATTCTCAAACAAATTGTACCATGATTTCCCATTAGTGATTTCTGTACCTAAATTTCAAAGTAATAGTTGCGATCGGACTACACAAGCAATAAAGAGCTAAAGAAGTTCTGTTCAGGCCTTTTTTGGTGGTCAAGATTGTCTTGGAGCGTGTTTTTTTTTTTTTTTTTTTTTTTTTTGGATGCCTCTTTCAGTTGATTGAAACCAATCAGGAACGTCCAGTCATTACTGCCGGTCAGCGAGACTCGACCTTCGTTGCTGCAAATTGAAAAAGCAAAAGAGCATTCTCGTCGGTTTGACGGTAAACGGTCATAAACATGTTGACTCGTGTGACCATCTCCCAATGGCAAGACCCAAAAGTATCCAAACGCCGTCGCCATGCCCATTGCCAGATATCAACCTATCGACAGAAGAATGCCGAGCCATGAAGGTATATCCACAACTCTTCAGCCTCACGGGTAACCAGCAAGGTTCTCCATAGCGGCAGTGCTGCTCAACCTCCCCGTCACAACCCCTCTCATCCTCAAAAGCACATTTGCACCTTTACTCTTCCTTCCTTCCCCGTGCCTCAAATACTCCTGAAACCAGCTTTCCTCCTCGCCCGTCAACGCCGCGCTAACGAGCTCCTTGCCCCTCGCTCCCAATTTATCCGGCTGCTCCAGAATGGAAGCTACTAACCTTTCAAACAGCTGCTGGCGGGTCCACTCCGGGTAGCGACGCGAGAAATCAAGTGCTTCGGTGACGTTGGTACGAGCTAGGGCGCCAAAGAGCAGCTCGAGAGCCTCGGATGAGGTGAATACGGGCTGGGCGGCGTGGAAGTAGGCGAGAGCTAGCGTGTAATCGCTCTGACTGGTGGAGCTGCGCTTGTTGACCAGCGGATGGCGGACGAGGGCGATGGTGATCTCGTCGGCGAATTCGGTGGGGAGGGATGGGTGGGTTAGGTTTTCGATTGCGTACTATTTAGCAGCGTTTGTTAGCGTCTTGGTGTCCAGTGAGCGACTTCCAGAACCAAACGGGCGGGCGCACCTTGAACTCCATGCGATCCATGTGCCACAGGCCCCTCATAAGGATCTGGTACTTTTTCGGCAGTCCCGTCTCCTCGGCAAAGCTGTCCGCCCAATGTGAACGACCTGGATGGACATCATCATGGTCGAGGAGGAGATAGTAAAGAACCGATATCTTTTGGATCGACGAGGCGCTGCTCTGGCAGATTTGTTGGTGGAGGGAGCGCAAGCCGTTCTCGCCTCTGGGCGGATATGCAGTGCCTAGTTACAGTGGTGATTAGCGATGAAGCGCGCTATAATGACAGGTCATGGATTGTTAGGGTGTTACTATTGGTAGTGTGGTGTTTACACTAGGTAGTGTACACTGACCTTGGCCGATGCTTAATTGACTTAGGACGCGATCCACAAACAGGACGCCGCCCAATGATTTGCGGAAAGTCTCGATGGCACTGGCTCCCTTGTGATCGTAGGGGTTTATGAATCCCGGGGAGGGAAACACGTTGTTGTATTCTGTGTAATCGAGCATCGTGATGTTGAAGTTGGATTGTACAGTCGAAGTGCCCAAGTGTCCTCAGCTGTTGAGTAGGTAGAAAGGGAAAAGGGAAATTCGAAGGGATGGATGAGTGCCGTCATGGCCTGGGATACATATGCAACGGCCATCGGGTCCGTCCCCTGCACCTGGAATGGAGCCTTCCCCGGATCTGTACCTGCGCTAGGTACCTCTAGCAAACCGCCCCGGCTTATCGATAAGGTAAGAAAGCCGTAAGCGCGATACATTGTACTCGTTTACACAGACTCCACCAACCTGCCACGCCTGCACCTAGTGATTAGTACCTCTAGCGCGACACGGTGCGAGCGTTCCAGCAGAGGGGTCGCCCGCTGCAGTGCACGAATTGCATTTGGCCGTGGCTGCTGTGGCTGATTGTTTACCAGTCACGGTACTGCAAGAAACGTCCGTCCAAAAACTGCCCTGAATGTCAACAACCTAACCGCGGCGGGGCAACGAGGAAGCTGCGACAGCATTCAAAGTTTCTGGGCGTCCCATTCCGTGTCTGTCGCAACAACTGCCCCGCGAAATGTGAATATCATTTTTCATCTTTACTTGTTATTACATAAACTTTCACGTCTTGGTTGTCTGATACCCGCATCGTGCAGCGCTTTCTGTTCTGTTCTGTTCTGTTGTTTTCATCATCGAGTCGAGAATTTGCAAGCCGAAACCACCGACAGACACCAGCCATGTCGACGCGCCCATCGCGTCGGGCCGCCGCAACCAGGCGCGCCGCCATCATCGAAGAATCCTCATCGGACGACGACATCGCAAACACCACATCGAGAGGCGCCCAAGATGACGACGAGGAGGACGATTATACACCCGCGCCTGCTTCGGCAGCCCGCAAGACCACCCAGCGCACTACCAGAAGATCCACTGCTACGCCCGCTCCCAGGGCAGGAACACCAGCAACAGCAGCAGCACCATCATCATCGGCTGCACCGGCACCGGCACCGGCACCAAAAGCTGCGCCGAAAAGGCGCGGACGACCTAAGAAGAATGCCGCGCCCAAACCCAGCAAAGAACCCAGTGTCGAACCGAGTGTCGAAGCGAATATCGATCCCCAAGCCGAACCCGAAGCCCCAGCGCCCGCCGTCAAGCCAAAGGATGAGCCGATCGAGGAGGGTATCGACCCCAATGTGACTGTCGCGTCTGCCGTATCACCCGCTACAACCGCCGTGATCGCGGAGCCAGAAGCACGGGATACGCAAGAAATTCAGTCACCCCCGCGGAAGCGTAGAACTCTTGTGCGGCGCCTCAGCAGATCGCCAGCAAAGATCATGCAGCAACAACTCGAGCTGCAACAGCAACAAGCCAGCCGTCAAGGGACACCAACACCAGGCTCTCCGTCAACTCAACGCGTCGATCGCCAACCTGCTCCTCTACAGGACATCACCCAGACCCTCATCAACCTACCACCTCCAGCGACCGCGGCATCAGAGACCCTTGTCAACACACAGCCAACATCAACAGCAGATGAAACTGTGGTGGCGGCCCAGAAGCCCGTCAGGGCTATGGATACCATTTTGGAAAAGCCCATGGATATTGTGCTCAAGTCACGGACCATGGCTCTTCCCGTCGTCGAGGATACCGGCCCGAAGCCCCGCATCGTCATCACCAACCTTGTGCTCATCAATTTCAAGAGTTACGCCGGTAGACAGGAGGTTGGACCCTTCCATGCTTCGTTCTCTTCGGTCGTGGGTCCCAACGGTTCCGGCAAGTCCAATGTCATCGACTCGTTGCTGTTCGTCTTCGGTTTTCGTGCCAGCAAAATGCGACAAGGCAAGATCTCGGCCTTGATCCACAATTCGGCGCAGTTCCCGAATCTCGACTATTGTGAGGTGGAAGTGCATTTCCAGGAAGTCATGGACTTGGTAAGTAAAAGACCGTTGTGAAAGGGGAGTCGTTGTGCTGACATTGATAGCCCGGCGGTGGTCATGAGATTATCCCCGACTCAACACTCGTCATCTCGCGCAAAGCCTTCAAGAACAACTCGAGCCAGTACTACATTAACGGGAAATCATCCAATTTCACCACCGTGACCACACTACTCCGCGACCGTGGCGTCGATCTGGATCATAAGCGTTTCCTCATTCTCCAGGGCGAAGTCGAATCGATTGCCCAGATGAAGCCCAAAGCCGGCAACGAGCACGAAGATGGTCTGTTGGAGTACCTAGAAGACATTATCGGTACTTCCAAATACAAGACACCAATCGAAGAGTCGGCCACCGAAGTCGAAACCCTCAACGAGATCTGCATGGAGAAGAGTGGTCGTGTCCAGCACGTGGAAAAGGAAAGAAACAGCCTCGAGGACAAGAAGAACAAGGCGCTGGCGTATGTTCGCGATGAAAACGAACTGGCGCTCAAACAATCGGCTCTCTACCAGCTATACATCAGCGAATGCGACGACAATATTGCTGTTACGGAGGAGGCCATCGGTCAGATGCAGGCACAACTTGACGCCGAGCTCGAGAAGCACCACGGCAGCGAACAGCTCATCAAGCAGTTGGAAAAGGCCTATTCCAAGGGTAGCAAGGAATACGACGCTTGGGAGAAGCAGACACAGCAGCTGGTCAAGGAGATGAACAAGTTCGAGCAGGAACGCGTCAAATTCGAGGAGAAGCGGAAGTTCTTGACCGACAAGCGTAAGAAGCTTGAGAAGACGATCGCCAATGCCGAGAAGACGGCTGTTGAAGCCGAGGAGACCATCCAGAACTGCACCAAGGAGATTGAGCGTCGCCAAAAGGACATTGTTTTTTTGGAGAAGAAGGTCAAGGAAGAGGAGGCCGAGCTTGCGACGATACGTGAGAGCCTCAAGGGCAAGACGCAAAAGTACTCGGATCAGATCGCAGCAAAGCAAAAATCTCTCGAGCCTTGGAAGGACAAGATCAATCAGAAACAGTCTGCCATTGCCGTTGCGGAGAGTGAGCTGGCCATCCTCAGGGAAAAGGCCAATGCCGGGACTGTGGCTCTTGAGGAGATGGAGGCGAAAATTGTGGCCATCCAGGAAAGGCAAGCAGCCAAGGCGGAGGAGATGGAGCAGTGCAAAGCTGAGAGAGCGAACCTGATTAAGGAGGGCAAGAAGATCGAGGCTG